CCCCTGGCTGCAGTGCGACACGTGAGCATGCCGGGAGCCTGACAGGTTTTGGGCAGAGTGCCGAGTCAGAGCTCGCCGCTGGAGTAGGGAAATGGGGAGAACCTTCTCTGAGATCGTGGTGCCTCTGAAGAGCTTTGTTGCAAATCAGGGAGCTTTGATTTGTACAAACCTCTGGACTCTCAAGCAGTAGAAACCCTAAACTTCCAGTAGTCTTTGTCCAACGGGAGCTGTTGGACTATCCCTGTGGCTTTAGGGCACTTAAGTCTTGGTGATGCAGATGCTGCACCCTCAAAGGCTGCAGGAACTGGTAAGACTGGAACTTGGTGGTGTCCTTCAGCTTGGCGATGGAGCGTGCCTTCAAGCCGAAGCCTGTCAGTGTAGGCTTCTCCATGCCCAGTGTAGACACTTAGCCGGGGAGTGCAGGTCTTCTCCTCCGCTTCTGCCCTTAGCCAGGGCTTCTGCCAAGCACGGGGCTGCCCGCAGCACGCGGCGGGTCTGGCTCCTGGCACGTGTCTCACGTGCTGTCACAGGGCAGGGGGGAAGCTCTTGCAGGTAGGACCATTGCCTGCAGACCAGCAGGGGAACGAGAGGCACCACGGCTGAGGTCTCCTGCTGCTCTGCAGCAATAAAGAGCCAGTCTTGCGGCTGGGCTTGCAGGCTGGGCTGCTTTGGGGGGAAGAAGTGGAAAGGAAGGTGAAAAAGGTCTTTTTTCTTTTTTTTGTTTTCCAGAATAGCTAAAAGACTGGCATCTGTCAGATTTCCAGCTGTGTGAGGGAGCATGTGGACTAGCTCTTTGTACTTGGCTGCTTATGCCACACGCAAGGCTTGACTCCACTCCAGCTGTGTGCATCTCCTGCCCCCCGCCCTGCTGTGATCTGCAGGGGCACAAGGGCGAAACGAGGCTTGACAGTTCCTGAGATTTGTGGTGCACGTTCTGCTTTCCTCTGCTGTCAACCATGGCAGTAAAACTCCAAAATGAGTGAGCTTCCTAGAGAGCAGGTAGACTTCCAGCCAGAGGCTGGTGGCTTTGTGTTCCTGCCAAGCCCTCTTGATGCCAAATTGAGATTTTTCTTTGGATATTTGCAGTCTCTGACTCCATGTAACAGTGCTGGGAACGGTGTTAGGTGACCTAATGCTCATAGGGTTGGTCTATACATGAGGGTGCTGCGCTTCTGAAGGGAGGTGAGACCCCTCCAGGGTCTGAGTTAAGAATGGGGGAGGTTCTGCTAATATTAATCTGGACGCTGGAAACAAACATTAGCAAAAATTCTCCAAAAGGGCTTGTAACAGGACCTCTGCAATCTAATCCAGGCTGGATGCAGGATATTGCCTTATTGATGTTACGTCAGAGGCATTCAGTGGTATAAACTAAGGATATTGGAGCTTGCTGTTTAGCCGCTGGCTTGATGGACCTCACTTTGTGTTGGGATCCTGCAGCGTGAGGAAAAATGAGCATTTGGCTGGCCAGCACAGGCTTAGGGTGAAGGCACAGACCCCCATCCAAGTTGGTGGTTTCTGGATGGTCTTCACTGGAGAGGGTCACCCGCACGGTGCTGTTGGCAGAAGCGGCGCCACAGTGACCGTGTGATCCCGTGCTGGAGCGCAGAGCGTGTCGTGGCTGCGGCGGGGGGGGGGGGGGGGGG